TATTAGCTTCTTTTACTTGTATTTCCAGCTTCTTCCCCAGGTTTGGAAAGTTCTCAGCTATTATTTCTTTGAACAAGCTTTCTGCTCCATTCTCCCTATCTTCTCCCTCTGTATTATCTATAATCCTTATGTTGCATTTCCTAATTGAGTCAGTATTTCTCAGGGAATTTCTGCATTTCTTTTTAGTCTTAGTTCTCTCTCCTCTTCCATCTGAAGCATTTCTATATTTCTGTCCTCCAGACTGCTAATTCTGTCCTCCGTAATATCAGCTCTGTTATTCAGGGAGTCCAGATTTTTCTTTATCTTACCCATTGTGTTTTCATTTCCAGCATTTCTGATTGGTTTTTCTTTATAGTTTCAATATCTTTTGTGAAGAATTCCTTCTGTTCATTAATTTTGTTCCTGATTGCATTAAGCTGCCTATTTGTATTTTCTTGTAAGTCATTGAGGTTTTGTATGATGGCTATTTTGAATTCTCTGTCATTTAGATTGTAAATTTCTGTGCCTTCAGGATTGACTTCTGAGTGCTTGTCATTTTCCTTCTGGTCTGGAGTATTAGTATATTTCTTCATCCCATTTGATGGCATGGATTTGTGCCTTCACATGGTGATAGTATCTGTTTGAAGATTCCACCTGCCAGCACTAGGGGGGAGGGGTTCAAGAGCTGTGTATTCTGAGCCCACCACGATCCCTGGTGTCTTTGCCTGTCCTTAGAATCTATGCTGACAGGACCTGTCTGTGATTTCTGGCTTGCTGACTCACAGCTGCTGCTTTTCTTATGTATGCAGGGGTGCTCTGGCCAACAAGCAGAGCTGGAGCACTGGGTGGGGGGAGGGGCGCTTTCTTCCATGCATGATCCCAGGGGCATTCTTGCACTGCCCTCACTATCTGCTCTCCTGGGGTGCTGGCTTGATGAAGACACCCCTGCAGTAGCTTAGCCACCTCTGTGTGGGGCTTTCCCATAGGCTGTGAGGGAACTTGGAAAGTAAAGGTGTTCCCATGGAGAGCCACCCCGTCCCCCTCTTTTTTCAGAGCCACTCATGGTCTCGTGCCCTGGGTTGCTGCTGGGGAGGGAGAGGAGCTCCCCTTACCTTCTTCCACTTCCTCCCAGGGGGTTCAGCACCTCTGCCTTCAGACATATGGCTGCAGACATATGCCTTCAGACATATGACTCAGAGGTCTTTTGTGTTGTGTGAATGTCCTCTGTCAGTTTATGAGTGTCCTTTTCACTGTATCTTAGGGGGGAGAGTCTAAGGAAAGAGTTCATTCTGCCATTACGCTGACATGACCTTCAAGCATGACATGATCTGAACTCATTTGGAGGCAAATCTTGACCTGAACTGAGTAAGCCAGTTCCTCCTTTATTTTTTTAATCCCACTTAGAGTGGACAACCCTGTGCTTCACTGCACAAATATTTGTAAGGTTGATTATGGGATGCTTCCCCAGGCCCCAGTAGGAGTATTACATAATATGGGTACATGCATCATATTACCTTCTGAAATTTGAAAAATTCTGAATTACAAAACACATCTAGCCCCAAAGATTTTGGACAAGGGATTGAGGATCTGTAGTACCCTGCTCATGTGGTCGTTTTGAGGATTAAATGAGTCAATATGCGTGAAAAGCAAAAGCACTGAAAATGATCCCTCGCATATGATAAGTGCTACCTAAGTTAACTACTGTGACTGTCATTATCACTATGGTTACATGGGAAGGTATTTAGATAAGTTGGTCAGAGAAGGCCTTTCGGAGGATGTGTCACTTAAGCAGACAGCTAAAGGATGGGAATGACCTGGCTGTGGGAAGAAGAAGAAAAATAACTTCAGGGAGAGGGAACAGCAAGTGCCAAGACTGGCTCAAATGGAGAACAGAAAACAGACTAGATGTTTGGTGTGTGGTCAAAGAAGGGGAAAGATGGTTCAAGGTCAGAGAGGTAGGCTGGAGTCAAAACATGCATGATACAGCAATGGTAAAGACTTGATTTCATTCAAAATGTAATAGGAAGTCCTTGTAATTGATCTGATTCGTATTTATAAAGAATGCTCTGATGCTGTTTGATGAATGAATTGTAGAGGGGAAGGGCATCAGGGAGACCAGTTTGGAGTCTATTGCAGTCTTCCAAATGAGACCTAATAGCTATTGGAGAAGGGAGGTGGTAGTAGACAAAAGAAAATTGGACAGGTGCAAGAAAAAGTTTAGAAATAAGGGAGAAGGAAGGCTTTCTGATTAACTTTTAATTCTAATTTATAATATGTCCATGTGCAGAGGCTGAAAATTTTGCAGTCATTGTCTCAGGTGTGTTAAGGTCTGTGGTTTTCTGGACCCAGCCATGCAGGCTTGCTAGAGCAATTCTGCACATCTCTCCCCAACTCTGCATTCAGTGACATCACACTGGCAGCTCAAAATCGGCCATGGCAAACCAATTTACACCATGGGAATTGGCAAATCAAGATTTAAATCAGAGATTTGTGGGGGCAGGAGAGAGTCAATTGTTAAACATTTACCAGCACGTCACTGTTATTTTTTGTCTATAACTAAACTTCCTTCATCTTAGAGCCTCCGTTTCCTCTGATCACAAAAATACTTAAACCAGGCATATCCTGGAAAACTCAGTGTGATGATTGCTGTCTCAACCACTTCATGTTTTTAACTCAGTTAATTTAGGAATCCTACCACCTCTTCCCAGGTCTCATCTAGGTTCATGGGGATGGGCTCGGAAGAGGGCCCTTGGTTAATGATTTGTCCTTTATCCATTTTGGCCCCCTCTGGAATGTAACTCACCTCTCTGATCCACTAAAAATATCACTCTTGGCAGCCCTACTTATTGCCTTTTGATAGTGGCATTCATGAACGCTTTATGTCTTCTGGTAGCAGCATAGCTGGGAACGGGGTCCAGGATCTAGGATCCTATTATCAGGGACCATACAAAGAGCTCACTCGACTTCTCTCCTTTCCCTCTTCTAAAGCCCTTCCCCCCATCTTGACTTAACCTCTCCTCCCTAAGTGGTGAACATTTTTCCTAAATCTTTGAGTAAGACTGATGCTCAAGGAAGATATACCATATTTATCTAAGGGCTTCCCATACTCCTTGGCCTATTGCCATATCTTCCCAGGGATCTGAGTGCTCCAGACTGAGAAGTGTAGCCTCAGAGGGCAATTCGAATTCTGGTGGGTGGAAATTGTAGGGAAGAGTACTCCAGTGGGGGGACTTGCAGGTCAGGAAACTGCATGCTGGGCTTGGGTTTAGTGATTAGAGACGCCAGTAGGGGGTTTGTATGGGTAAGCCTAGACAAGTAGATGGGGGACCAATTATGGAAGACTTTGGATGCCATGATAGAAAGTTAGGGCTCCTTCCAGAAAAAAGAGAAAGAAAACCATGTTAAAGATTTAAGAGCAATATAATCTGATTAATGTTTTGGGAAGCTTGATGGATAGGGTGGATTGGAAAAGCGAAAGCCTGGGACAAGTATGAAGCCTTGGAGCGGACCAAGTGTGGAATAATCTTGACTGAGACTGTGTCAGCTAAAACAGTAAAGCAAGGAGGATATCATGAGGGACAATGAGGGAGGTCAGCTGGGCTCAGTGAATGGTTTTAATGATGGGGAAGAGGAGACAGGGTGGTGAAGAGAAAAAAAAAGACAGTCTTATACCTCTAACTCTAACAAATTTAGGTAAAGATGTGTGACAAAGCTCTCTGAGATCCTTCTGAATCATCTTGCATCAGAGAAAAAGAAAGCTGATGGAAAACTTGCTTATTTACCTCCTATTGAAGGAATTAAGAGAAATAGGTATTTGGTTTATTACATTATCAGTGTTATTGGTTTTTTCAGTCAATTGGGAGGACAAAAGCATTAGTTGAGCTAGAAGCCTGTTGTCGAGACACAGGCTGGATCATTCCATGGATAAGCACCAGTGAAACTAAAACCAGTGTTCTGGAGTAAAATATTAATAGAAATCCTGAAACTTGAGTGCAAGTCCATGGTTAAACTACCCTCTAAGGCAGGGCAAGTTCAAGTTAATATGGCGATTAATAAAGCTCTTCAGTAGTTCCCATATTCCCTTTTAAGGTCTTCCTCCCCAAGGTCCAGGTGTCTCTCATGCTAAACCTGGATGCTCAAGAATCAGCATTCAAGGGGAGGTTCCCATATGTCCCACGTTGCTTTAGAGAGTCTTGGGTTATGCCTATAGTCTAGGCATAATTATTCTAAATTATATTATAAATTATAAATATATCCCCTCTTCTTTCACTCCCATAAGTATCCTGTTTGATCGGTGCGAGATCACCTTGGCAGTGCCCTGACTCTCTACTCTCTCCTTTCCACATTTATGTAATGTAAGCACAATATGTAGGGAAAATGTTTACCCCCAAATCATCTTGGAGATGATTTTCAAAACCAATCCAAGAGGAAAGCCAGCTTATAGAATGGCAGTGCCAAAATGGCAGGAGTTGGGTGACCTCGGGCAAATCAGCTAATATTGCTGAGCTATGTCTTAATCTGTAAAATGGGGATAATGGATCTCCTTTGTTTCTCTACATAGAATATTAAGAGGTTCAAATGTTGTGAAAGACTTTTGTAATGTGTGCCAGAGCAGACTTAGCAGGCAAACATTAATTGCACTAAAGTCTTAACGTGTTTTCTTCCCAGATGTATTTGCATACACATTCATCCCCCAAAATTTCAGGCCTTGGCAACTAATTGATGGCTCTTCCATTGTGGCATTCTAAATAATGGTGAATAAGACAATGCTGCTCCTACAACCTTAAAGCCAAGTGCCTGAAAAGCTAAGATGCTAAAAGCTAAATATGTAACTAAATAATTATGAACCTTGGTAACTAACAGATACAGTCATGGGGTGGGGGTTGCTGTTTAGACAGTTGAGAATAAGACTTGAATTGTTTATTTTAAAATGTAGCAAAACAGAGGCAGTAAATGGAATTTTCAATTCTGATTCTTGGGTATATTTTAGATTGATGATTTGTTCTTATATTTATTTTTAGATGTTTCCTATGTGGACATTGAAGAGAGAATTTCTTATCCTTTTTAACATGATCCTAATTTCCAAACTCCTTGGAGCTAGATGGTTTCCTAAAACTCTGCCCTGTGATGTCTTTTTGGATGCCCCAAAGGCCCAGGTGATTGTGGACTGCACAGACAAGCATTTGACGGACATTCCTGGAGGTATTCCCACCAACGCTACCAACCTCACCCTCACCATTAACCACATACCAGGCATCTCTCCAGCCTCCTTCCACCAGCTAGAAAATCTGGTAGAGATTGATTTCAGATGCAACTGTGTACCTGTTCGGCTGGGGCCAAAGGACAATGTATGTAAGAATAGGCTGCAGATTAAACCCAGAAGCTTTAGTAGACTCACTAATTTAAAATCCCTTTACCTGGATGGAAACCAGCTTCTAGAAATACCTCAGGATCTTCCTCCCAGCTTACAGCTGCTGAGCCTTGAGGCCAACAATATCTTTTTGATCATGAAAAAGAATCTAACAGAATTGGCCAACATAGAAATGCTCTACTTGGGCCAAAACTGTTATTATCGCAATCCTTGTAATGTTTCATTTTTCATTGAAAAAGATGCTTTCCTAAATCTGAAAAATTTAAAATTGCTCTCCCTAAAAGATAACAATATCACAGCTGTCCCCACTATTTTGCCATCTTCTTTAACAGAACTCTATCTTTACAACAACATCATTGCAAAAATCCAAGAAGATGATTTTAAGATGCTCAATCAGCTGCAAATTCTTGACCTAAGTGGAAATTGTCCTCGTTGTTATAATGTGCCATATCCTTGTACACCCTGTGAAAATAATTCTCCCCTACAGATCCATGCAAATGCTTTTGATGCCTTGACGGAGTTACAAGTTTTACGTCTGCATAGTAACTCTCTTCAGTATGTGCCCCAAAGATGGTTTAAAAACATTAACAAACTTAAAGAACTAGATCTCTCCCAAAACTTCTTGGCCAAAGAAATTGGGGATGCCAAATTTTTGCATCTTCTTCACAACCTTGTCCAATTGGATCTGTCTTTCAATTACGAACTTCAGGTCTATCATGCGTCTATGAATCTGTCAGAGGCATTTTCTTCATTGAAAAACCTCAGAGTTTTGCGGATCAAAGGATACGTCTTTAAGGAGCTGAAAGACCTTAATCTCTCCCCATTACGTAATCTTTCCAATCTTGAAGTCCTTGATCTTGGCACTAACTTTATAAAAATTGCTGACCTCAGCATATTCAAACAATTTAAAACATTGAAAGTCATAGACCTTTCAATGAATAAAATATCACCTTCAGGAGAGTCAAGTGAAGTTGGCTTCTGCTCTAACACCAGAACTTCTGTAGCAGGTCACGGGCCCCAGGTCCTTGAAACATTACATTATTTCAGGTATGATGAGTATGCAAGGAGTTGCAGGTTCAAAAACAGAGAGACTTCTTCTTTCTTGCCTTTTAATGAAGGTTGTTACATGTATGGGCAGACCTTGGACCTAAGTAAGAATAATATATTTTTTATCAAATCCTCTGATTTTCGGCATCTTTCTTTCCTCAAATGCCTAAATTTGTCAGGAAATAGCATTAGCCAAACTCTTAATGGCAGTGAATTTCAGCCTTTAGTGGAGTTGAAATACTTGGATTTCTCTAACAACCGGCTTGATTTACTCTACTCGACGGCTTTTGAGGAGCTACGCAACCTAGAAGTTCTAGATATAAGTAGTAACAGCCATTATTTTCAATCAGAGGGAATTACTCACATGCTAAACTTTACCAAGAACCTGAAGGTTCTGAGGAAACTGATGATGAACAACAATGACATCTCTACCTCCACCAGCAGGACAATGGAGAGCGAATCTCTTACAATTCTAGAATTCAGAGGAAATCATTTGGATGTTTTATGGAAAGATGGTGATAACAGATACTTAAAATTCTTCAAGAATCTGCTAAACCTAAAGGAATTAGACATCTCTGAAAATTCCCTGAGTTTCTTGCCTCCTGGAGTTTTTGAAAGTATGCCTCCAAATCTAAAGACTCTCTACTTGGTCAACAATAAGTTTAAGTCTTTCAATTGGGGAAAACTCCAGCTTCTGAAGAATCTAGAAACTTTGGACCTCAGCTACAACCAGCTGAGGACTGTCCCTGAAAGATTATCCAACTGTTCCAGGAGCCTCAAGAAACTAATCCTTAAGAATAATCAAATCAGGCGTCTGACAAAGTATTTTCTACAAGATGCTTTCCAGTTACGATATCTGGACCTCAGCTCAAATAAAATCCAGATTATCCAAAAGTCTAGCTTTCCAGAAAATGTCCTCAACAATCTGGACATGTTGCTTTTGCATCGTAATAGGTTTCTGTGCACCTGTGATGCTGTGTGGTTTGTCTGGTGGGTTAACCATACAGAGGTGACTATTCCTTACTTGGCCACAGATGTGACTTGTACGGGGCCAGGAGCACACAAGGGCCAGAGTGTGGTCTCTCTGGATCTGTATACCTGTGAGTTAGATCTGACTAACTTGATTCTGTTCTCACTTTCCATGTCGATGGCTCTCTTTCTGATGGTGGTTACCACAGCGAATCACCTCTATTTCTGGGATGTGTGGTATAGTTACCATTTCTGCAAGGCCAAAATAAAGGGCTATCAACGTCTGACACTAACAGATTCTTGCTATGATGCTTTTATTGTGTATGATACTAAAGACCCAGCGGTTACAGAGTGGGTTTTGGATGAGCTGGTGGCCAAATTGGAAGATCCAAGAGAGAAACATTTTAATTTATGCCTTGAGGAAAGGGACTGGTTACCAGGGCAGCCGGTTCTGGAAAACCTTTCCCAGAGCATACAGCTTAGCAAAAAGACGGTGTTTGTGATGACAGACAAGTATGCAAAGACTGAGAATTTTAAGATAGCATTTTACTTGTCCCATCAGAGGCTCATAGATGAAAAAGTGGACGTAATTATCTTGATATTCCTTGAGAAACCACTTCAGAAGTCCAAATTCCTCCAGCTCCGGAAGAGGCTCTGTGGGAGTTCTGTCCTTGAGTGGCCAAGAAACCCACAGGCTCACCCATACTTCTGGCAGTGTCTGAAAAATGCCCTGGCCACAGACAATCACGTGACCTATAGTCAGGTGTTCAAAGAGACGGTCTAGCCCTTCTTTGCAAAACGTGACTGCCTTACTTAGCAAGGAGAAGCTTGGCTGCCTAGATTTTCTCATAAATGTCTCATCAAAAGAGTGTTTTTAAATTCTCCAAGAGAGGAATTTCCCATATCAGAAAGGAGTCACCGTTGTATGACAAAGGAATTGGAAAAATGGGATTTATATAATGCATTGAGTTGTCTTTCTTATCTCTCTGTCTCCAGTTGCACTTCCGTCTCTCCCTTCTGCTCCTTATAAAATGCTATTGGGAGAAGGGTAGCAAGTAGAGGACACAGGGCTCTCATACTCCTGTAATTGTGATTATTAAATATATACACAATTACAAAATTGAGAGGAACTGCATTTCTACCCAGGTGCTGGTATGTATAGAAATAGGGGAAAAAATGCTCAAGGTCTGTCAATATGACATCAAAATGACCAGAGTTAATTAGTGAAATAAAAACGCAGTTAATTCCTCAACTAATTGCTTCTGTGTCATCTCGCACCCACTTCTGTGCAGACCGAGTGTTAGCACCCAACAGGTGCTTGCTGTTTAGGTGCTGCTTACTCTTTTCCCTTGGGTCTGTTGCTGGGTTCCATGCGGAAGCAGTGAGAAACATCTTTACCATCGATGGACATAGTCTACTTACAAATGGGAAAAAATTAAAGTGATCTGCCTTTATATAAAATGATGTTCTTTACTTTTGATGATAATTTACCTGCTTAAATATTGTTATGGATTAAGTGTTTCTTTCCCCAAAGTTCATATGTTGAAATTCTAACCCCCAATGTAATGGTATTAGGAGGTGGGGCCTTTGGGAGGTGATCAGGTCATGAAGGTGGAGCTTTCACGAATGTGATTAGTGCCCTTGTAAGAAGAGGCCAGAGAGCTAGCTCGCTCTCTTCCCACCATGTGAGGATGCAAAGAGAAGTCAACAATCTGCAACCCAGAAGAGGGTTCTCACCAGAACCCGACCGTACCAGCTCTCTGATCTCGGACTTCCAGCCCCCAGAACTGTGAGAAATAAATGTTTGTTGTTTAAGCCACCCAGTTTATGGTTTTTTATTATAGCAGCCTGAGCTGACTAAGACAAATATTTTTATCTGCATTGCAAAATACTGTATCCCAAGTAAAATTGCCTCATCCAATGATCTTTCAGACTGCTTTGTTAATTTATACTGTATATTTGTAATTATCTGCAGCCTTGATCCACCAATATTAGATAGTTTTGGTAGTAAATGCTAAAGGAGGACCCCAAGAGCATGTATTTATTTATGGTTATGAGGCAGGGATGACAATTATATGGATTCCTTTAAATTTTGAGGGGCTGAGGGAGAAACATATTTATAGACCTTAACACTGAGAAAGGTTCAGTCTTGAACTTCTGCTTTACTACTCAAAAAAAGCAACAAAGGGGCTGGCCCCGTGGCCAAGCAGTTAAGTTCTCACGCTCCACTGCAGGTGGCCAGGTGTTTCGTTGGTTCAAATCCTGGGTGTGGACATGGCACTGCTCATCGGGCCATGCTGAGGCAGTGTCCCACATGCCACAACTAGAAGGACCCACAGCGAAGAATATACAACTATGTACCCGGGGGCTTTGGGGAGAAAAAGGAAAAGAATAAAATCTTTAAAAAAAAAAAAAAAGTAACAGAAAGGACCAAGACATTCTGAAAACACACATACGGGGGCTGGCCGGGTGGCGTAGTGGTTAAGTTCACATGTTCCACTTCTTGGCGGCCGGGGGGTTCACTGGTTCAGATCCCGGGTGTGGACATGGCACCGCTTGGCAAAAGCCATGCTGTGGTAGGCGTCCCATGTATAAAGTAGAGGAAGATGGGCACGGATGTTAGCTCAGGGCCAGGCTTCCTCAGCAAAAAGAGGAGGATTGGCAGTAGATGTGAGCTCAGGGCTAATCTTTCTCAAAAATAACCCCAAAAAACAAAACAAAAAAACACACATACGTTCAACTGAGTATAAATTCACATGAGTTGAAAGTTTGAAACCTGACCAATTTACTTTATTTCGTGAAAGCAATTATCTACAGAGATATCTGTGCCTCTGGAAAATAGTGTGCACGGGTTCAAATCACAGAGCATTAGCTGTGAGATACTGTATTTTTCTCATATGGAAATGCCAAAGGTTTTACTTTAAATATAGTTTTTGTATTTAAATATATGTATTTAAATTTAAATATAAATACATAGTATATGCATTATTTCCAAAGGAGCCTGTAATCAATGACTAAAGGTCACAAATTCCTAAATTAACCTCTGGAATGAACAGAGAGATAACTAAGTTGTTATAGCCAATAATAGATCCTTTTCTTCTTCAGTGAAAACAAAAATAATGTCATAGAAAATCGGCTTTCGGCCATCATAAATTTTATATTAAACACATAAATACATAAAACTTAAGTTATTTTGGTGATTTGTAAACCATAAAGCTCTTGAAGACCACTTAAACATCTTATGAAATGGATCAAGAGGAAGGGAAACTGAAAATAACACAGCTCAGAAACACAGTGTATCTCAACATGAGGTTACATGTGGTGGTTTGTCGTAGGAAACAACCAGAAAGCACACCAACAGATGGTTTTAGTTTTAATTCCTTTGTAATCTTGACAAGTCACTCTTTCAGCCTTCTGCAGGCCCTCTGTAGAGTTCTGTACGACTGAAGCCATTCACAGATGGGTCAGATCAGAAGCCACCAACTCAGGCTACCAGGCGAGCATGACCACCAGGTCCCCTGCGAAGCTCTGAATGCCCTGCTTCTCTGCTGACTCCCTTCTGGTTGGTTCTGCTCTGAAAGAAACTCCCAATTCTCCATAAATCCCACTCCACCATCAAGGGTTGGCCCCCAGCCCCTTTCAACCCTGAACCTGGTGAGGGTGTGTCCTTCCTCCTCAGATAGATACTGTACCTCAGCAAGACTTGGTTGGGCATTTGTAGGATCCAAACCAAGGGAGGCATTCAGTGGGGCAAATGTTAAGGCTGAGAAGAAGGCAAAGCAAGTGTCTGCTGTCTGTAGAGGGGAGAGAGGATGAGACTGATCATAGCCCCGTTCCTGAATCAGGTTTTCTCGGCTCCATCTGTCTGAACACTCTAAAGTCCAGATGGTCTCTTAAATGTAGTCAGGGAATATAGAGTACTTGAGGGAGGGTAGTGACTTGACAACCTGGGCATCTTGTTCCCCAATCTCTGAGGAAACTGTAATGGGGATAGCAAGGAACGCTCTCTTGTTTTTTAGAAGGCTGTCCCCCCACCGCATAAAATATGCTTTTTATTTACTTCTTCCTTCTCATCCTAACCGCGGAGAGCCAGGTTGCATATCCTGCGAGGTATTTATAGTGCAATTTTAAAACAGGGGTGGGGAGAAGTTTTGATATTTGCTCCGCCTCTTCCACACATATTAAAGTGAGCAGAGAACACTGGTTATGGGACAGATTTACTAGACAGGTGGTGGGAGTGCATCTCTCCTTGGAGCTTTCGGGTGCCAGGCCCCAGGCGCAGTTAGTAATGGGACATGCTGCCAGTCGTATCTGCTGAAAGATTGAGCCCTTGACCCTAAGGAACACTGGGGGCTGTTTGTGTCTTCTAAAGCACAAATAGCAATGTAGGAGGGAAACAACCAGAGAACATGATAAAGAGGGACTCAAAAGATGTGCTTTGGAGAACACCAGGACAGAAGATAATCCATTTCACTGAGTTACCCTAATGAAGGAGAGCATGAGACCAGCCAACCAACCGTAGTGAAGGGGAAAGATTGAAAAGAGAGAGAAGTCTCAAACTCATGATGAAACTGTGTGGGAAAGGGCCTGGTGACACAGGGGCCATCCATGCTGGTGACAATGAAATTACAATAGGACAGTTTCACACTGTTTTACGTTTTATATCTTTCCCATCTTTCTTCTTTTGCCTCCTCTCTCTCTGTTTCCTTTTTGTCTTTACACACCCATGGCGAGCCTCATGTGATGCAGAGAATGAGGAGAAAGCAGCCACAGTTGCAGGTGGATTCTTCTGTTTGGAAGGGGTGGTTTTGTGTGTACTTTTGATTTAAAACTGATCTCTTTCCCTCACACAGATAGTAAATCCCCGCCTGCCTCAGTGAGCATGACCTTCTATAATCGGCTCGGTGAAACCCTCCCTGGGTGACACTGGCTGGACTCTCTGCCACATTCAAATTCATATTCTTTCTACTTCCCTCAACTTTTAAGCATGTGAGTTAGGAAAGTGGATAAGACCTGGTGTTCTGCCTTTAAGATTACCCTAATCTCCGTTGTAATTAATTTCTAGTGTATTTGTCATGACATTTCAGTGGTTGTGTTTCTTTATGTGTACATATATATATCTCCCGTCTCCCTCTTGGTGATTTATACTAATTAAATGTTTTGCAAGAGCCCAGATTTAAACTGACTGGGAAGGTTTGAGTCCCAGTGTCTTACAAGGTCACCCTCCAGATTCTAGTGGATTCTAGTGCAATCTGGAGGGAGAGAGGAAATCCTGGTTGCTTCATGGCAGTTTTCAGACATCCCTAGAGCCCACTAGGGTGCAGGGTGAGGAGGTGAGTCGCTTCCACAAGCAGGAAATGGCTCTCAGTGTTCTTCTGGCCAGTGGCAACTCCTGAGGCTAAGGCCAGACAGACACAGCCAACTAGGACACCACGTTTGTCTTGCGTGATACCCATGACCGCTTCACTTCCCACTGGCCGAGGCGATGCAGTGGGTCATAGATTCCCAGGGGCTTTCGTAAGAGGGGATGGCATGAGTTGACATCTTGAGCAAGATCGTGGTAACATCTCTGTGAACCCATATCTGAGCCCCACTGTCCAGGGCGACCACACTTCTAAGAAGAGTACCTGGGCTGTTTTGAGAGTAAGAACTAGTCTGCTGTCCTGCAGTCCCCCCCGGAACTGTAGGGAACACTCCCAGGCAGGTCCACATGGAGGCCCAGCAAGCAGGACTTGGTTATCAGATGATGTGCATTAAATAAAATGGTTTATAGCACCCATCTCGTCTCCTAGGTCTGCATTTCCCACCGTTCAGTTGCCTTTCCACTGAAGCATCGTAACTAAATACCCAGCTAATTTAGACCCTGCCAGGGATTATTTTAACACATTACTCTTGTCCATTAACACATCATGATGGATTAATTTGTGAGATGATCAACTCTCCAGAAAAGCCCACCTAACTAAACAGAGCGCAGAAGCATGTTCTAAACGGGGAGGATGAATTTGAAAATAATCACAAGTTTGGCTCCTATTCATGAGGGCAAGCCCGCAAAGGGAATGACAGGGCAAGGAGAGAGTGAGGAGGATCTTAGGAAGAAGGATGTAAGGTGAAGTCACTGGTACCCGGACAATGTTATCGAGTGGGGTGTGGAGGATGAGGAGGAGGGAAGGAAGTTACATTCGTTAATCAGCAAATGCAGATCAAATGCTTCATTTATTCCATTAAATCCTCACATCCCATCTATGAGGCTGGTATTAGGAGCTCCATCTTAAAGATGATGGGTTAAGTCCACTGCCCAAGGTCACAGACGAAGTGGCCCTGCTCAAAACTGACCCAGCTCTGTCCAACCAGTCCAATTGGTTCTCCAGCTTTACTGGGGACTGGAATCAACTAAGGATCCTGGAAACCGTGTGATTCCCTTCCCCCACCCCAGAGATCCTGATCTCTGCATTTCTGAAACTAGCCGAGGTGCCCCTGAAGCAGCTGGTCTTCAGAGCCCAGTTTGGGGAGCGCCATGTCTTCCTTTGGGATATTGAGGACTGTTGATACAGGGGTTACTGCACCAAGGAAAGCCTGAGCCCCCCAGGTATGCTCGATTTCTCTTTCTCTTTCTGTATATAACCCTCGG